ATTTTTTTGCATTTTATTTACCTTAATTCATCCCATTCGCGCAAGGACTTTACAACTGGTAGAATCGCGTAGTCGCAAGAACGTTCTCTTATTTACTTTACTTTTATTTTATCTTATTTTTTTTTTTTTCATACAAGACTCTTTGTCTCTCTACTTCTCTCTCTCGTTTGTATTCCATTTTTTTCCTTTATATTATTTCTTTTTTTCTTGGTTGTCTTCTCTTTCGTTAAATTACCGTTAGTTTTATTTATTTGATCGGGAAAGGCAGCGTAATTATTCGAACACGAGACACGTCGATACACGTTTTCTTCTTTATCTTCTGGGTTTTGCCTATTCTCGCCTCTACGTAAAAGACAGGAAGTACGGTTTCTGTTTCTCGTTTTTTGTTCGTCTCCCCATTTTCTTTTCTCCACCGTTCTTTTTTTTCGGTGAGTTATTAATGCAACACAGCCCCCTCGTGCATGTTCGCTTCTTACGTATATACACGTATATAATAGAATATGTATATATAGAATATATATAATTTGCTTTTTAACGATTTTTTCTTTTTATCTCTACAATTTTACATTTGGTGAGCCGAGCGACTCAGGGGATAAATCGTATGCACCGATGCAACGAGACGGTTCACATTGGCGTTGTTTGAACAAAAAAGGGAAGAAAAGAAGAGGAGAAAATATGAAGAAGAAAAAAAAGAGAGAAAAATTGAAACAACAATTTACGACGATAAAGTATATAGAGAAGAAAAAAAGAAAAGAAAGAGAGCAGAACGTACGTTATTTCGAGACCATCGTTTTCTTCCGTTTCTTTTTCTTTTTGCGTACCACAACGAAACAAATTAAATTCTCCCGCGCGATGTTTCGTACCGACGGACGATAAAACATCGGGTGTCTTCGTTCGAGAACGGAAACGAAGGAATATTTAACCGCGTAATTTCCACGATATCATACCCCACGAGGATAAATCATTCCCGGGTTGGCTCTGTGTGACATTTCTTTCATTTCGTTCCCGCGACTCGTGCCTTCCACTGAATTCCATTTTTATTTCTGTTTTCTTTTATTTATTTCTTCTTTTTTTTTGGTCAGTTCACCGGGGTAAAGCGACGTAAAATAGGGAAACCGCTCGTGCCTCACGCAGTTTCGGTCGCAGAAAAGCGAGATAACGAGACCGCAATAGTCGTAGCACAGTTTTATTAATTTTTTTTTTCGTCTTTAATTTCGTTCTAGCACGATTTTCTCGCTGGTGCCCGAAACCACGATGAAATGTATCGTCGGTTCGTTTTCGTTTCTATGCACCAGCCTAAACTTTATTTCACTTCTCTTCTCTCTCTCTCGCTCTTTCATATTGGTTCTCTCCAAGTTAATTTACCTAAGATTAGAGGTATGTTTAGCCTCGACCCACTCGAGAATGCCCTGCCAATTGCTCGTCTGTCGCAGCAAATTCCGTTCGAGCAAACGAAACGAATTTTCACGTAAAAACGGAATCAGAGCTTTTCCATAACAGTGTTTTTTTCTTTAAAGTACGTATTAACGAAGTTTCAATCGATCAATTTCGACGTAGAACATTTTTTGCCTCTGTTTCTCTTCTATCGAATAATGCTATATGACTGTTTTCTCTCGTCTTCTTTTTTTTTTTTTTTTAAATATGTACGTATGTATAATTATGGAATCACTGGGATATTCAATTTTTCGATCTCTTTCGTCCGGTATATCTCGATCAATCGTTTTACAAGGTTTCAAATCGTCTGATATGCTGATTGAATCGATTAGTAGAATTGTCGGTAAACGTACGAAACAATGAGTAATTATAGTAAAGATTAACATTACGTTTGTTCTTTTTCTTTTTTTCACTAACAAGTGTTTTTAACCTAACGTTCGAGAGTACTTCGAAAAAGGAATCGTCGATGTAAGAAAGGAAAGAAAATTGATATTATCACTGATATGTAAGTAAATCGTAACGGAGCATTTGCGGTACCGAAGCTTAATTCCTTTTCTCTCGTTCGTTAATTTCTCCCGATCGTTTCTCTGAATTTCTTCGTTAAAAATTCTACCGTCGAACCAATGATTTGTAGAAGCTTAAAATATTTAAGCCATAGAAAATCATTCGGAATACTAAAGCCATCCTCTTCCTTGCCCGTTAAATTGGCAAAAATTCCAAGAAAATTAGACCACAAAATCGCCAAAAATATTTCACGTTATTTCTTCGACGCATTTTTAATAAAAAAAAAGAAATATCAAAGAAGTTCGATAAATCTTATCGTTCTTAATTCGAAAATGATATTTTTCCAATTCGTGTGATTATTTCAATGCAGAATACATCGTTCGATTTTTGCAACATTCACGGACAAGGAAACATTCGTTGCTGGACCAGAATTCCCGCGAAACCTCTTAACCTTTAAATGTACAACACGTACCACCCCTGTATTCAGGTACAGCTTCGTACACCTGTGCATCTTTTACGTGAACGACGCCAGGTGTACTCCTGAATGTTTACGTATGTTAAAGCCGAACAAATCTCGTTTTTTTTTTTTTGTTCTCTCGTTCGACTCTCGCATATTATTACATTTGTGTTTTTTTTTTTCTTCGTTTATTTTATATGCTCAAAGCTTGGCTCAACATCTAAGTACCGACCGGTACCTAGGTAATAAAAACATATCATTTTTATTTTTATTTTTTTTTTGTTTTTTAGAATAAATTCTAGGCCTTCGCGCGTAGCTCAAGCAATAAACTTCAACTTTAACAAACTCTGCCGCCCCCGTATCTTTGTACCCTTTGTATCTACATGTGTGTATCCGTGACAGAGCATTCGCTTTATTAATTGTGTGTGTTTTTTCATTTTTTTTTGTTCTTTTCTTTTCTCTCTTTCCGGTTTCAATTCTTACATCTGGACCTCGCCACCTCCTACCACCTTTTCAATTAAATTCCAGATCTCGATAGCGCGTTTCGATCTCTCCTAGGCGTGTGTTGCGATCGTTTCTGTTTTCCTTCACCAACCGTTTCTCTTCTTTCAAAAGCTCGGGACATTTCGTCCCTCTTTCTCTCTCTCTCTCTCTCTCTCTCTCTCTCTCTCTCTTTATTCGAATACGGTTTCGGAACTGTGCTGCTACGTGTGTGTTTTCATCGTGTATACTTGATTCTTGTCCTTTCTCGTCTCTCCGCTGGTTTTACCGTTGTAGATTCGAGTCACGTGGCGCTTTTAATCAAAGTTCGTTCGATATTTTTTTTTTTTGTGTTTTTTTTGTTGGTTTTTTTTTTTTGGTTTTTTGTTGGTTTTTTTTGTTTCTCGGTTTTAGTCCTTAACTACACTTGAAAAATGTCACCGGTGGCGCGCGGTGCGATGTTCGTTTCGAAGATGGACGTTGTCGAGGTCGTGACTGGGGCCATTTCGCCGAATCTGCTCGCGTTCACGTTCGTCGTCGTGATGGCGGTCGTTTTCACCGGAGTTTCTTCCGTCATGTCAGACGACGTCGGCACCTGCTGGTGTAGTTATCGTTCCAATTACAGAATTAAACAATTTTCCTCGATAATAAGCGATTTGAACCACGTGGGAACTCTCGAGAGTTAGAAAATCATAATATTCGGACAACTGAAGAATTGTTAAAAGGAAAAAGGTTAACCCTTTGCACTTGTAACCTTCCTTTCCTCTAAACTCCACCACACTTTCGCAGTGAACCCTTCGAGATCCAAAAATTTTTATTTCGAAAGTAAATAATTACAAATAGTTTTATTTCCTTTATGCTACCGTATCACGAGTGTGCCTCGATGGTGCCAGCAGAGTGCAAAGGGTTAACAAAACATTAGAATTCAAAATTAAAACAGTTGTCACCACGCCTGATTCAACTCAATTTTTCTCTCATTTTTCTTTTCGTTCGTAACTCTCGGCAACTTTCTCTGTCGCAACGTGTTACATCCATGGAACTGAACAAACGAAAAAAAAAAAAGGAAAAAAAGGAAGAACGACAGCGTGAATCATTTTTCTTTTCCGTTCGTAACTGTTCACAATTTTGCCTATCGCAACGATGTTACACCCATGGAAATGAACAAACGAAAGAAAAGAAAAGAAGAAGAACAGTGTAAATGATTTTTCTTTTCCGTTCGTAACGATCGACAGCTTAGCCAGTCGCGACGAGTTCGCGCTAATAATAATCGAAAAGAAAATATTCATTTTTACGAAAACCAATTATTCCTACAGAGTACCTCGTTATAAAAGACCTCCTTCCCCTCCTCCACAGACGGCAACAGCTCGTCCATGGAGTGAGGGGTACGAGGGCTAGGCGTAGGCGCTATTTGTTGCTGCTGTTGTTGCTGTTGCTCCCTTTGCTTGGCTAATCTCAACTCCTGCAGTGCTTGTCGTTGCTCTTTCTCGTTCCTCTCCTTCTCTAATCTCCTCGCGCTGTAACTTCTCGCCGAGGACGTCGAACTGTGAACCGACGTTAAGCTAGGACGCCGAGAACCTGTCGGTGGAAGAAAAGAGAAAAACAACGGTCCAGTTTTAGTTCACGTTTCGTACAAGTTTCGTTATTTTTTTTTTTTTCTTTTCGTTTCTCTTTTTCTTTCTTTACATTCGTCAAAATTCTTCACCCCCAAATTCTCCCAATTTTGGTCGCTACGCTATAAAATTCACAAACGCACGTATGTCGTCATCTACGGCTCGTAAGAACGAGAAGAAACGAGATCTAATTGTTATATCAAAGGCGTCTGCTAGATATGTATAAAAAATTGATTATCAGCGAATGATTCTCGGATTCATAATGGCGGACGGCGCGTCTATTTTAGACGATCGCGATCGTGATCGCTCCTCCTCTCTTAGGCTATGTACCATAAGCATATATACATATATGATAAAGTAATTAGAACGGTTAAGTTGGCTGGTCGCTTGAATTAATCCTTCGTTCGTCTATCTAATTCACCGTTGAGAAATCGGGGTGGGTTTTTCAGGAATGCACAAGCACTTCGACGGCACTCCCTCGCTTTCGCTGTGGCGATTATTATCGAAGAGAAGCCGATGGAAGGGGAGAAACGCGAGAGAGAGAGAGAGAGAGAGAGAGAGAGAGAGAGTGAGATAAAATGGTGAATTAACACGAGAAGGAGTTGTGAATGAATGGACAGAGATTGAAATTGCAGCGATCGGGTGGAAGGATATACACACAAAGGTGCAAAAGTATATATCGGTATATGGTATAATCAGAGAGATAGAGAGAAACAGAAGAAAGAGGGATTTCGATGTACGGTGTTCGAGTTCATTGTGCGTAGACTGTTTATGGCGTGTTTCTTTCATTTTTTTCTTGTGTTTTTCGTTCGTTCGTGGAGAATTTGTTGGTCCAGTATTGCAATGGTGTGACGACGGTGTAACGTGTGTATAATGTTAGTACGATGATGAGAGATAGAGAAAGAAGCTTGGTCACTTGAGCGTGAAAAGCAAGCGCACAGAGGAAAGCTCGCACTATCACCGATGTGTTTCCGTCTATGCGAATCGATAAAATTCGCCACGCCGCAAACGTCGATCCTTCTAAGCGTCTCTAACTGTGCTCGTGTAATTTCGAGTGGACCTTGAAGCGATATATATATTCGAAAAAAATTCTAAGAATTTTCTCGACCAATTTTTCTATCCCTCAAATCGATCGAAACGAGGTAAATGGCCATCGATCACCCCCGTATAAATTTCAAACCTATAAAGAAATCACTTTCTATCACGCGAGTTACCAAAAAAATCTCAGAAGAGATTTACCAATTTTTCTATCCCTCAAATCGATCGAAACGAGGTAACTTGCCATCGATCACCCCCGTATAAATTTCAAACCTACGAAGAACCACTTTTTATCACCCCGAGATCAATCGAAACGAGGTAAATAAATGACCATAGATCACCTCAACGTCAGTTTCAAATCTATAAAGAATCAGCAATGAGATTCAATATTGATAGTAAAATCCCTCGATTGATAGTAAATTATGTCAGGTTGTTCGAAACTTTTGACCGCTACTGTATACGTATATACACACACACATACATATACATATATCGTATATGCAACGAATGATTAATTTGAACGGGCAAAACTCTGCGAAATTATACATGTACTAAGAGCCATCGAGTTGTAGGTCGGTTGCACGTGTATATACGCGGATCGAAGGGTGAAGGGTGCGAAATACTTTGCTAGCTGTTTAAGTGTTTCTAATTCAGGGATGCTTGTTAGGGGTTCTTATTGATTCACGACGCATATACAAAAGCCAGACAGAAAGACAGCAAGAGGGAGAGACAGAGAGAGATAGAAAGAGAGATAGAGATAGAGATAGAGAGAGAGAGATAGAACTGATAGAG